ATCTGTTTAAACTAGGTTTCCATCTATAGAAAAAATATATTTATATATATCTGCTGTTAGCTACGGCAACAATGTTTGTTAAATGCCGCTGTTAAAATTATTTAAAGATACATTTTAAAGCTAAACTAAGTGATAGCATAATTAATTAATTAGTTGATCAAGTTGTTATGTATTTATATCTCTCGCTAGTACATAAAATCAAAGATATCGTGATCTATATTTAAGTTGCAGCCAGTGCAAAATAAATATTTTAAAATAACAAAACGCTACTTTTGAAATATACATTCAATTCATTTCTGTGATTTTCCACATTCATGATATAATAAAATATTGATTTTGATTTGGACAGCCAATTCTAATCAGTCATTTAAATTTTGTGATAACTGGCAGCCAGAAGACTCCATAAAGTATATATGTACACATATATTCTTGATCAGGATGACGAGCTGAATCGATGTAGCCCTCTCCGTCTGTCCATGCGTCCGTCCGTATGAGCTCTGCGATCTCAGAAGATATTAGAGCTAGAGATATTTGAAATTCAGCATATACAAGTTTATCATATTTTTTCGACTCATCCGATTTCATTTTAATAGACCTGAAGGCTTCACAATTAATGGGCATGTATATTTGAAAAATTTGTAGTAATTTTACAATTTTGGATACCACGCGCGGCTAGCGGATGGGGTTGCATATCTATCATGTGTTTCTGTATGTGTGTAAGGCTTTGTAAGGCTCAAGGTATTTCCTAGTCGAGTATTCTCAACTAGAGCTCTCTTGTTTCGGTATTCACTCTTGTTATACCCTGAACCTATTGAAAATGGATAATCAGGGTATAATGGTTTTGTTAAAAGCATGTAAAAGACAGAAGAAGACGTGGCAGACCCCACAAAGTATATTCTTGAAAAGGGTGACGAGATGAGTCGATTTAGCCCTGTCCGTATGTCTGTCCATCCGTCCGTCCGTCCGTATCTACGAACGCTTCGATCTCAGAAGATATAAGAGCTAGAGACTTGAAATTTGCTTTCCTAGGCCCGTGTATATCACGCGCATATCAGGTTTATCACTAAAAATCGATAACTACTTCAGATATTTTATTATCGATTACAAACAATCCTTATCGAAAGCTAGTTATTTAATTATATCTCCTACACCCTTAGAGCTAGAACTTCTAAATTTTAAATGTAGCACAGCCCAAGCGCAGTCGCTTCTTACTGAGCAGTTAACAAAGCGCCTTCTAATACGTGCGTGTGTATGTATGTGTGCCTAAAAGAAGTGAGTAGAATATCAGATTGGAGTGTTCAGGGTATCACCTAGTCGAGCAGTCTCTACTAGAGTTTTCTTACTTGTTATTTTTGTCAAAACTATTTTTCTATAAAATATATATAAAAGTAAAGTATTAAATAAAGTATATAAATTCTTGATCACAGAAGTTATAAGAGCTAGTTCATCTTCGGGATAAAAAAATTATATACTTATTTAATATTTTTAATTTCAGGTCAATATAAAGATGTTTAAATAAAAACTCCATGGTAAAGAATATGATATTGACTTATTGACTTATTTAATATTTTTAATTTCAGGTCAATATAAAGATGTTAAAATAAAAACTCCATGGTAAAGAATATGATATTGACTTACATATATCTAGCACACACGTAAGAATATCATACTTAAAGGCTATAGATTCGTGGAAAAACAAATCAACTTCAAACTTTTTTACATCATCAAAGCATGTAGCGTGTTTTACATTCACCCGTTCGATTCAGAAATAGTTTATTTTATAAGTAAACTAAAATTCTGTGATCTACAAGTCGAACTAAAATTTTTTGTAACATAAATTATGTCCCGTCGAAGTATAAGATGTCGGTCAGTAGCCAACAAAATTTGGTCAAGAATATGCGTAGGCATATATTCATCATCTGCTTTAATGTTGAAATATAATAATCAAATAGTGCCGTACGGAACACCCTATGCCATATTTGAATCAAAAACTGATAGAGGGCTATATTTCCTAATATCTATGGGATATACGCCACTTCTGAATGAACAAGAAATTAAATTGACTAAAACTTGGGATTTAATTGAACCAAAATCTAAGAGAATAATCGAATCAGTTAAAGTCATGGTTTGCCTTCCGTATAAATTTAGGTTTACTGATGAAATGATCGAAAGATGCACGGGAGAGTCTGGTCGCACTGCCATGTTCACGGTACTCAACTATCCCTTGTATGATGTCATGAAATCAAGACTTAAGGTTTTAAATAGAGACATGATTGAAACTTCTAAAACTACCTCTGCATTCTACACATGGTCCCACTGGCCGATTATACTCATTGCGTTTTTTATAATTTTTGTAATTTCCCGTTTTTATTTAAAATTTAAAAGTTTTGGCTAAGTTTATAGTAATATTATCCGATAATCCAAAATCAAATAAAACAAGCAAGAAAGCTCTAGTCAAGACTGCTCAACTACGAGATCCCCTGAACCCTTCGAGAAAATGATATTTCAATAATAATTAACACACACACACGCATAAAAACAAACACGCACACACACACGCACACACTCACATATACAGGCGATTGTGCTTCGACTGCGCTGCAGTGTTGGCAACATTATGGGAACTTATTTGTTGAATAATTTAATTTCTAGACGTACGATCGCAATGAAACTTTC